GTGTCTGGCTTCCGTGTGGGATCTTTGTCATGTGCTGATTCTCTCTTGCACCCCATTCAGTTTTATACCAGTCTCCACATGAGCCTGTTAAAGATGTCATATTAATTGCCCAGAAATCCCAGCCTGCTGTTACTCCACCGTCACTTTTTAATGAATACAGACTTCATTGGGTGTATTTCTATAGCTTTGGTTACTTCTATTTCTATTTTTATTGCAAAGATCTGTGCAAATAAAATAATATTAAGAGGCATGGCTGTAAATGTGCTCTGCTCAATTCCCTGTGCCTTGCAGTGCCCGTGAACTGCAGCTCCAAGATGCCTGCTGCATTTCAATGGCTTCTGCGTGGGGCACCATGATGTGGTAGATGCAGCACTGGACTGGGGTCTCACAGACCCTGTTCCTCCACTCACCTTGTGTTACTTAGGCCTCCGAGCCTCAGCACACTCATCTGTAAAGCGTCAGTGACAATGTCATACAGATGTGACTGAGGATTCAACGAGAGAAGTATGTAAAGCACAAATGTTGTCTACGGGGCATCATGGGAGCACAAGAAGTGACTGCCTAGCTTCTTCAGCCAGCAGCAGTTATGAGGAGAGACGGAGGTGTGCACAAATGAATGTTCATTGTAGAAACCATCAAAAACTCGGAGGAATAAGGCTCTATTCCAGAGGAATAGATCAGGCCTCAGAGTGGTGTGCTCTAATTGTGGGAATGTGTGACTCTAGGTGACTGTGAAGATAATGTCATGGCTTCTCAAATCCCGTTTAACCCTAAGCTCTGACCAGTTCTAAAATGTTATAAGAAGGCCCATTCAATGACACATCTACCTTTAAAGGCATGCATAGTATAATTTATTTAAAAATCATTACAGTATAAATCTGTTTTGTTATACTGCTTGAACGAACTTAACATCAAATATCGAGACATTAAAAGTATAAGACAGGTCCTGATCTCCTACATATGAAACTTTCTGTAAGAATGGCCAGGTTGTGTTCATCCAGTGAGCAAATGATCCAGAAGGCCTTTCTAACTGGCAACATGGAGATGGTGTTATTGCCACTTTGACTGATCTTGCACAGTTGTGATAGTATTTGAGTTGCATCATAATCTGAGGTCACCTCTAAAGCTATCAGGCAAAGGATTCCCTGGAATCTGTACCACAAAATTCTGTAAGCCACAAGAAGGAAATGGATGACACGGAAATCAAGAAAGACAATGGGAGTCCGCAGAGGGTACATTCTGTGGGCACCTTGACTTCCATTCTGGTTCAGTATGTTGCTAGAGGATTCAGGCTTGGCAATGTAAATGAGATGGAGGAAGAGGAGTAGGTGGGAAGGGAGGACGCCATAGTGGAAAGAGACGACTTTGACGTCAGACAAACCTCATCAATCATCTACTTGCACTGAGCTTCACCTTCATTGTCACTGAGCAGAATGATAAAAGCTACCTTTCAGTATTTCTTTTCTTTTCTTTTCTTTTCTTTTCTTTTCTTTTGGAGTTGGAGTCTCACTCCGTCACCCCAGCTGGAGTGCAGTGGCATACTCACAGCCACCCCAGCGTCTACCTGCTGGGCTCCCGTGATCCTTCCACCACAGCCTTCCAAAGAGCCAGAACTATAGGCGAGTGCTACCACGCCCAGCTAATTTTTTATTTATTGTAGAGATGAGGCCTTGCCACAGGTTCTATTTACAGCATATGTTACATAGGAATTGTAAATAAACTCAACCAAGTGCCAGCTCTTGTAGACTGAGTGGCTTTCTGAAGTTCTGGGCTGGAAAGAATTCTGAGGCTATCTCTGGGATCAGAGAGAGAATGCTGTTTGGTGATGTCTGCTCTGGGCAGAAAGTTGAGTGAGGAAAAAGCCCATATGGATATACGCACTATAAGTGTTCTCTAGATAAATATCATGCTGACTGCTGTTGTCACAACGGTGTTTGTCCCTCTTTAAATTGCTAAACTTCTACATCTTCAACACAAAATGGAATCAGTTAATTCTCTGGTTATAGTAGTAGTGTATATCATTTTTTATTAATTTAGTGGTAAAATTATGAATATTATCTGCCAACAAAAGCTAAAACCAGCAATCAGAATTTGCTATTCTTAATTTCACTATCTAAAATACCTACTTGGGAAACTTCCAGCAGTTTCTAAAGGTAGAATGAGGATTGGAGGAGAGATGGTTTTGAGCCGTAGGCCAAGGTTACCATGAAAGGTTTACATAGTATTCCATATTTCTTTAAAATATTCACACAAGGGAGAGGAGGTACAGCATGTTTTGCTCTTAGACAGTATATGACTTTCTGGACTTTTTTCCTGTTTTTTCTCTAGGGCCAGATTTCTTTTCTGGGTAAATAGTCATGTTCCTGTCAGCCACGGGGGGATTTCTGAATCCCGAACAACTGATTTTGTATTCCTGCCCCATGCCTTTATTTGAGGACAGCGGTCTGATCAAATCCATACTCTGAAATGTATGTATTTATAGACATATGGAAGAATAGTTTACAGTTTGAGTATGATTCTTTTTTCCACCACAAATGGAGGAAAATTGTTTTTTTTTAAAACTGTGTTTTATCAGTTTTTTTTTTTTTTTTTTTACTGATGACTTCATTCTGCTTGAATCCAATGCTGCAGTTTCCTTGGGGTAAACTAATAGATTATGTATGCGATGTTTGCACCGTGTTGATTAAACTCATCTGGTGAGTTTGAACGCAGCTCATGGAATTCCATCACGGGCAGAAGCCTGTGCTTTGGCTCCCCACACCACGGCCGTCTCGGGTTTCTCTAGAGTCAGGCTGTGCTGCTCACAACAGGCTGTGCTGCTTCTCCTGCCTGCTCGGAAAAGCTCATCAAGACTGAATTTTTTCAGCTACTCCAAGAAAATATTTATTTGAAAAAAATTATAGTAAAAAAAGAGAACTAGAACTCTCACTCTGTTGCCCAGACTGGAGTACAGTGGCACGCTCCCGGCCGCCGCATTGACCTGCTGGGCTCCAGCGATTCTTCCACCTCAGCCTTCCAAGTAGCTGGAACTACAGGCGCGTGCTACCACGCCTGGCTAATTTTTGATTTATTGTAGAGATGAAGTCTCGCCACATTGCCCAGGTGAGTCTCGAACCCACGGGCTCAGGCAATCCACTCACCTCAGCCTCCCAAAGTACGGGATTACAAGCTGAGCCACCAAGCCTGGCTGAGAGTCTTACAATATATATTGAAAAAAAATAAAGGCATGTGATTCCTGACGGTTTTGGTTCTTTTCTGAACCAAAAGTGTCAAGGTTAAGGGTTCAAGAAGCGCCCAGACAGCCTGAGCTCCCAGCACATGTGAAGCAGCCCAAAGCAGGTTCTGGATTGCTCTCAGTTAACCTGCCATCCCGTTTGGGAAGAACACTCTTCCTCCAAAAGGCACCTACTCACCATTTCCTTTTGATAGCTGACAAACATCATTTTGAAATACTTTAACAAAATAGAGACCTCTTTCTATTGTGTTTAAATGTCTCATTTTAGCAGCTATTTCATGTAAGCTTAAAACTCAGCTATAGCATTTGGGGATGTTTTCACACTGGCCTGCCAGCCTGTCTGAGCCTCACCTGCCCTCTTCCCTACCCCTCTGCATACCCTGTGTCCCGCAGCACAGACTCCCACATGCCGAGAACGTGAGAGTCATTATGATTGATAATTGTTACCAACTGAGTTGAAGTACCCAAATTTGCAAGTGATATGCTTTTGTCATTTATTAGAGTAAATTCAAAATACCCCTAAACCAGAGCCACCAGCATTGAATCTTATTCTCACTTGCTTTCTAAATAAGAGAGGGAGAATGCATCTGTCACTTAGTATGTGAGTGAGGCAGAACAAAAAACATACAGGACCACTGCTTCCCAAAGTGACTTGCTGCCACGTCCCCAAATCAGTGTGCATTCATGTGGCTGTGTGCTGCACTACCCTTCCTTCCCCCTGGAATGCCCTCAGCTCACCTGTCTAGCTGTGGGGCACCTGTGCAACCTTCATGGCTCAGCCAAAGTGCTGCCTCCTCTCTGGAGCCTTCCGTGATCTCATGGCCCTGCTCTTTACCCTGCCAACATTTAAGCGCCTTATATTCCCATGACCCCAGTGAAAATCTCCATGGTAACACCTGCCACAATGGAGTGTTGTCTTCTGTGTCCCTCTCTGTCCCCTCCCTCCCACCTAGACTGTATGCTTTTTGCACATAAGGACTGTGGACAGGTCCTTTTACACCCGAGATCTGAACATGAGGACTAGCAAACAGGGCACTCAGTGATGCCGCCAATGAACCAGTGGAGTTGAACGACTCTTAGACCTGCTGACCATCCTCTTTGTCCTTCCTAGGCCTGAATCATATCACAGGATCTTGGTTCTATTGAAATTAATGCATCAAGCCAAGTTACAAGGGAGCCAGAGTGGAGCAGTTTGGGTTGGGAGGATCATCATAGAGAAGCTGTGATTCCTGGGAGAACTGTGGACAAGGACGTTCTGCCATCACTCAGCTTTCCCGCCCTTTTTTTTTTTAACTTTTTGACAGGCCTGTCACCTTTTCTTCACCTGTGCGCATATGTTGACATATGTCCCACCACCCACTTGCAAAATTCATGAGTCAGCTGAAACTTCGCCCCAAGTAGGCAACACATTGGGGAAAATGAGAGCCCCACATCAAAATTTAACAAAACCCTGAGTGTGTGATAATAAGAAAAAAGTGATGTGTCTCTTAATTGCTCTAAAAGGTCAGAACTTTATCTTACCTTCTCATTCAAAAGGCATTTATTAATCACAAGTCAGATGTTTTGACCCTTGGAGCTGAAGGTAGACACATAAGGACCATTTGTTGCTCATTTTATTGCTGATTTCACCACTTTCCTAGCACATTTGAATTACATTGTTGGATCTTCCAAATTTGGATGTCTGCCCCTTTCATAAGAAGAGCCAAAAGCAATTTCAGGGATGATGTACACTGTGTGACTGTGTCTGCTTGGTTCTATCCTGCAGTGTCCGTCCTGTGGGTGGGAGCAGTGACCGGATTCAGAAGTTGCGAAAGGAGTATCACCAGGCCCGGAGAGAAGGCTTTCCTTCCTACGAAGATGATGAGGGGAGAGCCAGGCCTTCGGACTATGACCTCCTCTGGGTAAGTGTGGTTCCAGTCACTGTGATCATCCCTGCTTGGGTAGTTCAGAGCAGAGGAACACAGCCAGGAATGTTCTCTGCATATCAGATTATATTTTGGCTTCTTGGGTTTCTTAGATATGAGCATTGCCCGACCCACAGCCATCTTCTCCTGCAGAGGTTGTTTACAAATCCACAAATGTGCAGTAGCCCATCCTAATGCGCTCACACTTGCTTCCTATTGTATACCAGCTGGACTGGGGAACAGAAGGGAGTTATTTCACGGGGACGTCCACTGAGCCCTGGTCCTTTGCCTCCTCTTGTTAGATCTCAGGCATCTGGGAAATGCCACCACTCCTTTGGAAAATGGTTATTAGTAGTAAATTTCAGAAGGGTTGTTGCCAGAGATGTTAATTGTTTGTTTATCGGATCCGAGCACATCACATTCTGCTGATCTTACCAGGGTCCTAGGATGGCTTTGTTTTGAGATAAGGGCAGTTTTGTATTAGAGGATTCTTTTTGCCAAATCCTTCAACATTCAGAGAACAGAAAAGAATATTGTGACCACTGGGTTTTCCCAGGGCAGATTCATTCTATTGGGTTTTTTGAGAAGGCAAGTCTGTACCTACAAAATGCACTTAACTCTTGAGCATCCGTAGAAATGCCCAGAAGGAGAATGCTTAGAGCTGGATGAAATGGCCATGCCAGGTACACAGAAGGGTGCCTGACACAGAGCCAGTGTTCAGGGAAGGTTAGCTCTCATTGCCAAGGAATATGGCAGTAGTAGTATCCTTGCTGGGAATCAGTTCTCACTCACCCCTCAGGTGAGTTCTGCCTTCTCCTCCAGTTTTTAGTGCTGTTCTGAGAATCAGGCAAAGGGACTCTGTCATCCCTGGTGCCTGCTGAAGACACCAGCTCCTTTGAAGGCACACTTACTAGAGGCAAGTTTCTGAGTTTCATGTTCATGCTCACAGGGTCCAGGCTGGGAGAGCAGAGCCCCACAACTCAGCCTAGTCCCTCTGATTTTTACATCTGTGTGGGGTGTCTCATGAGTGATACCTCACACTGGGGTCTGAACATCAGGTTCAAGATCTGCCACTGTTGGGCAGAGCAACCAACACTCCTTGGTCCAGGAGGTCCAACCTGTACAGTGGAGTTTAAAACACAAATCAAGTGGCCGGGCTTGGTGGCTCAGCCTATAATCCTAGCACTTTGGGAGGCCGAGGCAAATGGATTGCCTGAGCGAGGGTTCGAGACCAGCCTGGGCAACTTTGTGAGACCTTGTCTCTACAGTAAATCAAAAAAATTAGCCGGGCATGGTAGCGTGTACCTGTAGTTCCAACTACTTGGAAGGCTGAGGTGGAAGGATCGCCGGAGCCCAGCAAGTCGATGCTGGGGTGGCTATGAGTGTGCCACTGCACTCCAGCCTGGGTGACAGAGTGAGACTCCAACTTAAAAAACATAAAAAATAAAAATAAAATACAAATCAAGCACACAGGGTAGATTGGCAGTCTCAAACCAAGTAGCTTTGGCCCCTTGGGAGAGAGGCACCTAAGACCAGGGGTCAGAACAAACGGCTATTTACTGGTCTTATTACAGGTGTCAGCATTAAATAGAAGCACACTAAGAGTGATGGGAAAACTTGTCTCAGACTCTCTGTAGCAAAGAAGATTTCCAGAAGATAGCAGATTAGATAAAATTCACCTGGTCTCATACTGGAATGAGATAGGGTTGCTGCCTTTGACAAGAGGTGCAAGCAACTTGTTAGATGAGACACAGCTCCTCAGTAAGCCAAACAAGCAATAAAACACAGAAAGCTGTTTCCACTGCAACCAAAACAGAACACCACATTCAATGTGTTGAAGTGTTCATCCCAAATCACTGTGAACTCCTGTGAGCAAAAAGAACAAGTCATTTAGAAGCAGTAGCCCTGGTTGTCTTGACCTTACTTTATATGGTCGCCTTATATCCAGCTGCAAGTATGAAAGTGCTTAACCTTCATCAGACTTAATGCTTCCTCTTTCTCCGACCCTCACCAAACCTGATCTGGATAACTGAATCCCTGGGTTATCCCTTTTTGATGATGTTTTTATGCCAAGTAGACATGTCACCACACCAGTCAGTGAGTAAAGAAGCAACTCTGCTGTAGTCTTCATTTCCCATGCTCTGGTGTGTTGAGCTTTGCCAGAAGTGGCTGATTTTGTGTTTCCTGAAGAGCTGGGTCCAAGGGCTTCCCAGGGGCTCTTGGGAAACGCATTGTCTGTGTTCTCTGTGACCACAGAGATGTTCCACACTGGAGATAGGATCTCTACATTTTTTCTTCTACTCCTCCAAGCCAAGGAAAGACGCTGGCATCTTCTGTTCATTGCAGGCCTAAGAAATCACACTGTTGTCCTGCCACTTTTGGAGTGAGCAGAGAGAGAAAGTTTAGCAAGTTAACATTTCACTCCTTTCAGGCCCGCCGGACCCAACCAAACAGCTTTTAGGGATCATAGTCCCTAGACAGATGAGTCTGCAGTGTCACTACCTAATGCACTAAAGTCAGATGATAGTGGCAGGAAGGGGAAGGGTGAGCCAGGAGAGGCCCCAGGACTTCTCCAGGTGGTCTCTGGGGATTCTGAAAATAGGGCATTGACTTAAACTGCCTCAGTAAACAGCAAGCAGCCCAGCTGCTCTAACAGCACCACTGTGTGCATGGCCTTATGGAGAGTTCTTCCATGAATTCAGGATTTCCCAAGTCCAGGGCCTCAGACTGAGAGACTGGCAAGTGTGCCCGGGAGTCATTCTATACTCGGGAACTTCTGAATTGTCAAGAAGGACATTAGGAACATAAGTTACCTGCCAATGACTTTTAAACTAATTTACAAATGGGCCAAAAAGAATGAAGATATATTCACTGAAGTCTTCAAAGTCAAATGTTGAAAGGAATCACCGGAAAGATTACTAGGGTTTGTGAATATTTTAAAATATATATGTGTGTATTTTTTTCAATGGGACTGATGATTTTTTCTTTGGCTTGCCCTGTTCTTTCCAGATCTTCCAGGCCTTCTTGTCTATACTTCACCTGCCAGCCTGAGACTTCCCTCCCCACTCCCTCGGGTTCTCACTTGCTTTCATGCCTCCCTCTCCCTCCCCCATTTCTGCTATCCCTTCTTTCCCCTCTTCTCCTCCCCTCTGCCTGCCCCTCTCTGTACCCCTCTCTGTCTCCTTCTCCTATTCAATTTTAATAAATATTTGCCGAATCTTGGTTAAATCAAGGGCTGGAAATAAGAACATGACACTGTTTCTACCTTGGAGGAACTTGGGATCTAGCCAGGAATACAGATACCTAGGCCCCACCAAGACAGAACGCTAACATGTAACCAGTGCTGTCAGGTAGAAAGGGGTAGTGAGGTACTACTGATGTCTGGATGAACTTGAGAGAGCAAGGAGGTCTGCTGGTGCCTCAGCGGTGGGAAACAGGGTGCAGAAAATGCTCTAGAGACATTTGGGTGTTGCCTCCGTGGACATATTTTCTTCTTTTTCTCTCAAATTTGGTGACTTTTTTTTTCTTTTCCAAAGGAGCTCCTGGGTTGCTCACTTGGTTTTAGATGAAATGAATACACACAGATTGCAAGGATATACTTGTGGGCCCGAGAGCCACAAGCCTTCCGGCTGGCCTGCTTCGTAGCTGCTTTCCCCTTTAGCTCTGGAAAGCGGTAAAGAGCAAGTTGGGAAAATGTCAGTATCTGCAAGTGAATGGCCTGGTGAATTTTCCAGGTCCAATTAAGTAAGCAAGACATGCTAGCTGTGAAGTGTTAATATTTGCCAAAAGAAAACATAATACCTGTTATCTGCAGGTATTTTATTTTTTGTAAAACTTGTTAAGACTGTCACAGTCCTCTGGCAATGGGCTGCTTTTTTTTTATTAGCAGATAAAGATTATCTGCTTATTTAACAGCAGTGGGAATATCCTGTAAGTAATTTCACAAGTGGGATGGCTCTGGCGTTTTCTAAAAATATTAGTACCTTTATTGCTGTCTTTTTCAAGAGCTGTACAGCATATGTCATCATCCTCCCATTTAAAAAAATCTTTGGCTACATTAGAAGAGTGTTTATTTATAAAAAGAGGTGTATAGACACATGGATAGGAAGGGAGGACAAGCTTGTTTATATATGGAAAAAAGTGAGAGTTAAAACATCTTAAGCTAGCTAGACTCCACGGCCATGAAAACATGCTGCTGCCTCTCTCTGGCAAGGGGGATTGGCCCAGGTCGGTCATGGTTGGAGCAAAGAGGTGGCTGGGTGAATAAACGCAGACATTCCTGCTCTGAAAATGGTCTAGGAGCCAACTCGAAGAAACATGCTTGGCAGCTGATGTGGATGATGAAAGACAAATCTGGTGAATTCTGCACTCAGTGAAGAGGGAAAGCACGATGCCGAGATCATGCTAAGCATCTTAAGAAAGGGATTTAAGGTGGGATGTGCAATCGCCAAGCAAGCATAAAAGCCATGAGGAGGTTACTTCTTAAACACCAGGAGGTAAGAGGATGAACTCCTGTTGTCAGTTGTCCAATACTAGAATTGAGATTTGTGTGTATTTTCCTTGTGAGCTTCTTAAAGGCATGAACGAAGTACCTTGTGAACAATTCCAGTTTCGTCAATGGCTCTTATATTGCAAAGAACAGAAACCAAATCACAGTGGCCCAATTCAAAAAGGAAATGTTGCTGGTGTCCCTAAAGGAAGTCCACAGGCTCACACTGGCTTCCAGAGCGCTGAGCCCAGCCCTCCAGACAGGACATCAGGAATCTCCTTCTCCACTCAGGTTTGCTGATCTCCTGCAAGCCCCACTCTCCAGGGCCCCAGTAAGGGGACAGCAGCCATCAGCAGCTCCAACACAACAGCTCTTTGGGAAGAGGTGGTCTCACTCTGAGTAGATTCAGGAAGAAAATCCAAGAACATGTATTCGGTGGGTTGGTCAGCTCAGCCTGGGTCACATGTCTACTTCTGAACCTGCCTTCATGACCTGAACTAGCAGTCTGTAACTGGGTCACAAGACCACCCTTAGAGCCAGACAGTGGAGTCAAGTCCACCCCAACTCCATAAGTATAGAACTAGTCCCCAGAGGAAAATTAAGAAGCCACTGATGGAAAAGGAAAGGGGTACTAGACACAGTCAGGAGTTGTCTACAACGACTTCAAATTCTAATAATGGTATAAACTTCCTTCATCTTAGAAGTACAGAGAAAAAAACTTTCCATTAATATATTCTCCTATTTATCATTAGAAAGAATAGATGTATTATCAATCTTGAATTTGCTGCCACTGTTTTCTATGTGAAAGGAGAAAGAACATTTATTTTTGTCTATTAGTAGACAAAATTTTTGTCTATACTGATGGTATCTTGAACTATCCCAGGAACCCAGGCAAATCCATTAAATGATTCATGAGACATTACCAGACCTCTGGCTTTTTATTTATGTAGGCAAATGACATTGTGGTTCACCCCAGACCTAGGAATTCACACAGAGAAGCTGCAGAAGTCTTGGAAAGGACTGAAGTTGCTCTCTTTCTGTAGTTGGAATTGCTCTATCTATACCCTCATGGAGTGTTGCCTTGTGAAAAGCACATATTCTGTGCTTAAAAGCTTTAAAAGGTGAGATAGTTAAAGACATTAACCGTATTTCTCCAGAGACCACTGCAATGTGGCTGCTGCCACGTGGTCTGTGGATAGGCTGCGGAGCTCCATCGACGCTTTCTCCTGATGATTGACATCATCAGCATCATCGACTGCCCCGCATCTCCCTTCCTTTCCTCACAGCCAACCCAAGGCTGCAGGCAATACCAAGGCAGAGAAGGCAGAAAACCACGTCTAAAAGTTACGGGTGTGTTGGGAAGGCCTGAAGTACAACTGAACCTGATGCTCATAAAATATCAAATGCCAATGGAAGAGCTGGAATTTGCTCATCTAGATTTTGGGAAGTTGTGAAAAACTGAAGAAAGGAGAGGATAGAATAAATTGAAGACTTGGTTTTTGTTGGTAGCTTTAGCCCTTTTCCATTTCAATGTAGCTTTCTTGGGAGCTTGTTGACATATTGGCTGCATGGGAGAAGATCTAGAATATGCAACATGTGAGTGAATTTCTAGCTTTTAAACCCAGGATAAGTCATTTGGAAGGAGACAACATGTGTACAGGCAGTCCCCGGCATCGAAATAAACTGTGCTCCAGAAGCCCATTTAGAAGTTGGCAGTTTGGAACTAGGAATGGATTTTCCCATAGAAAAAAAAAATTACTGTTTGTTTGGGTCCCAAACCAGTTTACAAAACCCTCTAAAATTCAATAACTGTGTGCTAATCTCAGAACAGTCACCAGGAGCTGGGTCTGGGAGTCGTTGGAGCTGGAGATGAGGAGGAAATTCCCTTTGTTCCTCTTTCCTGGACAAATTTTTGAGATGTTCTCTAGGCCTCTCCGTCTACGGGTCTCCAAGTCTGTCTCCCCAGGTTCCCTGACCTTTAGTTGCCCCACCTCCCATCTTGGTGCCCCACTTAAGCCCATCCTTCCCCCAAAGTGTTCAGGAATCCTGGGTTACCTCTCTGCCCCATCCCCAACAGTTACCACTCCCAATACAGCTTATCTTATCAATACTCTCAGGCAAATAACCTGAGCCATGAAGACTGCGAGGGAGTCTAGGAGGAGGGAACAGGAGGGGCCATTGGCATCTCCTCCTGAGCAGGATCATGAGGTTTTGCCTGGACCTGCTGCTCCCACACCAGCTCGTGGGCTCTTCAGCCCTTCTCTTTAACATAGGGAACCCAGGCTTCCCTGTTCTCTGTCTGACTGGCTTCCTGTGGGCGGTGACCTGATCCAGAGCATGGTGCTGAGCTCTCCAGTGCACTGCCATTGCCTCCTTTGGTGGAAGCCCTTTGTCCAAGCCTGCCGTCTGCGGCCCTGGTGTCAGTTGCTGCAACTAACAGGCCATGATTCCTCATCAGCCTGCCTGAGAATCTGCCCTGAAGACAGCTGCTCTACATGGCTCCTGTCCTTTGTCCTGGCTTTTGAAACACAGACGTCTCTAGTCTTGGAACAAGTCATTTAGCAGCATGGGAAGCATGTAGCACCGCACGGGAGACTGTGCGCTCCGAAACCAGATTGCCAGAGTCCGCGTCAGGTGTGACTGCCTACCCGCTGGGTAAAAACTGGGGCAACTTATTGTATGTCTCTGCCTCCTTTACAAATGGGGCAATAATAGCATGTCATAGAAGGAGTGTGACACACACATGTTCACTTAGAGCAGTGTCTAAACATGCAGGAAGGATCAGCAGACGTTTTTAGGTGGTGCCCATACGGAGTGTTAGAAATGTGCATCCCACTGGCGGGACAGCCCTTGCTTCCTAGTCTGTACTGGTGCACCTTGACTCTGGCTGCTCCAGAGTCCTGGGACACCAGCCTGGTTGCAGCCTTGGGTGCCACCGAGATGCTGCGGCACATCAGGTGGTCACTGTCATTAGGCCCTTCTGGCAAATTCCATCATCGGTCCAAAGGTCAGTGTCCGTTTCCCTCCCTCCCCCACACAGACTTTTCCTTCAAAACGTGCGTTCCTTTCATCCTGACCCTGGGGGCGCACCTAATCTCCTTAATGAGCTTATGCTCAAATCAAAGACCAGAAAAAAGTTGACTTCAAGCAGCTTCTGCTTTCAGTTCTGCAAAGCCCTGAAGCAAAGTGCCAGGGTCCAGTTAAGAACTTAAAATAGGATGGCGAATGGACAGCAGAGAGGATATATACACGACTTTGACTCCACAAACTACACCAGAACAGATTGTTAAGAGCAACAGCATCACTTATTCAGTGCTGACTCTACCTTATATAAACTATTCCATGAAGTTGTTCTCTGAGGCAGGTACCTTTAATCCTGTTTTTACATGAGAAAATGAAGGTTCCAAGACCCCACCCCACAGCACAGCATCCGTAGCAAAGCTGCTTCTCAGTCTGCACCAACTCCCAGTGAAGGAGAAGGACTGCAGGGTGCCTGTGGCCGGTGCTAAGATAACTTTTTTATATCCAATGTATGACAAAGGAAGTGTGTGGGCAATTGTTTATAAGCACGATGAAAATGGTTATCTAACTCTGCCAAACTATTCTTTCATTTTCACTCTTAATTTGTTTTTTGAGTGGTCTTGAACCAAACCAGTGTTTTGGTAATGTTTTATCAGGACTCCTTAAATGTCTAAATGAGATCATTCTTTGTGCTGTAATCAAGTAAGTTACCCATATCTGACTCCAACCCCTAAATAGCAAAAAGCAGAAAAAGAAAGTTCAGAACCACATTATTTTTCCATAGTATTTCAAAAAACCGTTTGCTATACTTACATTAGAGTGAAAAAAAGAACTCTTTCTGCTTCTAATGAGCAATTAATTCCAGTTCAGGATGTCGAGTTTAGAATAGGTTAAGTTCCCCCAAACCACAACCGTTTGTGTTGGATCATGGTTAAAACCCAAAATTCCAACTTCCACAATAATAACATTCTTTTCTTCTACTGCAATGGGAGAAATGACCATTTTATGTAATAGAAGAAAAACCATAGCAGAAACTCCTATGAATTCCAGATTTCTTAAACTGTTCTCAAAGCTGTTTAAAATCAACTGGGTACATTTTATTTTAGCAGAGCTTAAATGTTCTAAAATAAACCTAGGGTACTAAATTAAAAATGAAGATGTTTGGAGAAGAAGATATGAAAATCCATCTAACTGGTATTTGTAGCTCATGCATCATTTAAATTTCACAACAATCAAAACACCATGTATACCCTGTTTGTGTGCGCTCCATGACCCTCACAAGCTCCCCACATAACCAAGCAATCAGGTCACCATGGCAGCCATCTTGTTCTCCGCTTCAGGAAGATTTTGACCCAGAGTCATTCTGAGATTTACCATCATTTGGTTCTTATTAAATAGTAACTACTCTGGTGTTGTGATGGGAAAAAGAAAATTTGCAGAAAGCTCTCCTCTGAAATCAATATGAAGAACACTTGAATCAAAGAAAACCCTAAAATGAGAATGGTCACCACAGCCATGTTGGGATCACCACTATCCACAAAAGAAATGATCACTTTTCAGGACAATAGTACAGACACACACCAGAGTCCTTGACTTTATAGTGATCCTCTGGAGCTCATTAGTCTCTCTATTTTTCATTCTAAGCCCAGGCATTACAGTGCTAATTTTCAGAGTGTTTGTGAGAAAGTGCAAAAGTTGATACCACTGAATTTTTAGCTAGGCTGACCGGAAAACTTTCCACTTATTCTAGTAAAAGACTTAAGAAGAAAGGATATACAGTTGTTATTATGCACCATTGAGAAATTGTTTCTTTTCCACTTTCAAGGTAAGACTTTTGTAAGGCAATGAAGTCCTTGGGTTTTATCTCCATGGAACTTTCTTTAGTCAATTTCACCCATTCTCTGTCATCTCTCACTTTGCAGATGTGATTCCTTTCCCAAGCAATGGAGCCAGTCCACAACCAATAGGGAAACACATTTTTCTGCCATTGTTCGTTCTTTTGTTGGTTTACTCATTCAGTGAACACTCAGCATTATGTGAATGCATGGCAGATTGTCCATCCAGCCCAACAATGGCATCATCAACACTTACCCACAAGGAAAGAAAACGTGTTGGAATGGTGTATGTCTGTGTCTGTGTGTTTGTTGTAAAGATATTAATGTCTTGAACTTTCTCCTTCTGAGAAATGGTAGAAAATGTTGTATGAGGAAAGACATTCTCCATCATGATTTGCTTTCTTTTCTGTAATGAACCTCTGGCTTCCTCTGTAATAATGGATACCTCCAGAACATGTGGGAACACCTCTGTTTCTCAGCTTTGTTTTCCCATCATCACTCATTGCTGGAGTTCCAGATTGTTTCTGAATAGCAAATCTATTCTAATTTTCATTTTTTATATCTATCAGCTACCTTTCCTATCCTTCATTGGGCCAGGCTTCCTGTTTTCCATGCAGTTCCCCATGTGGTCATCTCCCAGATGTGAATGACCAGACAGCCCATACCAGCAGCCCTGTGCTGTATAGTATGTGGTTGCACAGAATCAGAGACTCACGTTTCAGAGGAGGAAGTCGTGGTCTCACAATTAATGTGAATAATGGCAGGAAGAAATCTTTTTAAATAGTTCTTAAATTGGTGATCAGGAAAAAAAATGCTATGGGATTTAGGAGTTTGTGGTTTACGCATGGTTCTAGAACTATTTTGCCATTTCTCAATTTCACAAAGTGGTAAGTTTCTCCTTTCTATGTATAAATGCATATGTATAAGATTAAAAATCTAATCCCTAAATACATGCTGGGGGGGGTACAGATACCCAGGGTAAGGAGATGACAAGTAAATAGGAAAGAACTGACATTTTGTTTCAAGAATTCAAAATCTCTCCTTAATTGACTCATGTTTAATTTATCAAAAATTTGAGTATCTTCTCATTCAGAAACTCTTAAGACTTTCTTAGCTTTCTTGAAGATTTCATCTCTAAAATAAGAAGAAACCCTGTGAATATCCTAAAGAATAAATCCTAAATATTTTTACCAATATTGTATTACTTCAGCCTCAAAACTTCATAATGTGTGGTTGCTCAGTCCCACATTCACTCCTTAGTTAATCAGTTAAATCTTTATTCGGTGGCAACTTTGTGCCAGGCATTTACTCAACTCTGAGGACTCCAAAGAGAATAAGGAGCTCCTGTCTGGTGGGAAAAGCAGACAGGAAACAAAATTTCAAATGTAATGAGATATTTAGGAGTTATTGCACAGGAGTACCTTGAGAAGCGAATGCATAGGAGGGAGAAACCCACCAGGAATGACTGGGATAGATTGGCTTTTATTCCTGTGAGGTTTCCCTTGTGTGTTGGGCCTTTCCTTTTGTCTATTTAGGGCTGTTTGCCTCCAAGGAAGCTACTATATCTAAACAATTGCTCTGTGTAATTCTGAAGCAGT